TGGGTCTCCTTTTTCTTCCCCTGGAAGCCCATCATAAGACGGCGCTTGGAGGACTCGTTCATCCTCTTAGCCTCGGCAGCTCTCCTGTCTTCCGTCACTGCGAGAAAATGGTTCGGTAAGTCCCGCAACAGAAGAAAAGAAACAATTGTAAGTTACGAAGTATACTTACTCTCGGCAGGGTTGACAAGCTGGGCCTTGATGAGGTTGGCGGTAAAGAGAAACTTCGGGTACACCCTCTCAACGGCAGGAACCCTCAGCCTAACCCTTTCAATCTGCCGGATCTCCGCCTGTGTGGCGCTCGGCTGCTTCAATTTGCCTGCACAAAACCAAACGGCGCATTAATGCGACGCGCGCCATCATCACTTGTGCCACGTGTCGCTCATCCTGTGGGCAACGGACGGCACGCGAGGCGCGAAAGTCAAAGCGTTCAGACGTCCCTTCACCCGTCAGCTCGAAGCGACCTTCTGACTTCGCCAGCGTCAGCCTCTGAACTAATGATGCCGGAAGGGACAATGTCTGGCCCCTTCCCCAAAGATCGAGTTACCGAACGGGAGGGACCGTGGTTCCTTCCGAGGACAACTGCAAATCCCCTTCCGAAGACTCTCGCAAGGGGACTTGGGGGACTCATGTTTGTACCAAAATGAACAGCCAATGAATACCAAACACGTGGAACAAACCAGGGCTACGAGTGCCTTCGGTACCAAGCCTACCGATCGCAACATTAGGGCAACCTTGCCCCTCTGGACGCGTGGCAGTCTCACAATTGACGCCCAGAGTCCCACATCGAAACTCTCAACAAATTGCACACCTCCCAAGGCCTATAAAAGAGGACACCCATCCCAGCTTGGAGGTAATCAATCAGAACTTACGGCATACTGCCTATTGATCTGAAGTTCAAACTTATTCAATCCGTACTTACTTAAGCATCGGAGAGCCTTCGGCCGGTACCACACCGGTGCCCTAGAATTACCGTGCGTTTGCTTTCTTGCAGATCGCACACCCTACCGAGGACATCTGATACCGAAGAGACCTAATCACTAAGTTACGCGGGAAAGTATCAAACCATTTTTCTGCGTCAACAGTATTCAACTTCACTGTTAGAAATCAAAATGGCTCCCAACACTTGTGAAGAGCTTATTTCTTCGATCTGCTTAGTTGCATTATATCCATCATCACAAACCACGACGCCATGACATGCTAGATCTGTCAACTTGTGGGAATTATTGCATGGTGATAGTAACTTTGTGTGCACCAGTCGTACATTTAGCAATGACGTATTTCCAACAAATTTTGATCGTCCTACGATTTTCATTCCATTTCCAAGAAATAAGTACGCGGCAAGCAATCGATCTGTGGTGCCTGCCATTATACACAGTGGAACTTGGACCTTCATTACCAGCTGCGCACGAAACTATGATACCTTTCTCCATGGCAGCGAATGTTCCCATTAATATAACATTTGTAAGCATGGTGGACTCTTCCATTCCTAAGGAGATGTTGATAATAACATCAACACCATCAGCAATGGCATTTTCTATTCCGGAAAGAAAATCCAATTCATTGCATCCTTCTTCCCAGTCAACCTTATATACTGCTATCCTAGCTCGGGCGCGACGTCTAGAGGTTCCGTTAGCATACCCAAAATAAGAAACCTTGTCTATGTAATTCCCAGCAATGGATGCGACAGTTATTCCATGCCCAATTTGATGCCTAGGAGAGTTCATGCTAACTCGTGTAAGGTTGTTTCCATGTATCAAACCTTTATTAAAATATTTGACTCCTATGAGTTATAATAAAAATATATAGATCTAGGAAATTGCATATGGATGGACAACAAAAGTTGACGCCCCACTTTGGTATTGAAATATATGAAGTTCCTTTGATATGAGTTTGAAAGCATTTTCGTCCTGCCTTTTGACCCATGAACAGCCCGAGTTCTTAAGTGCCTACATCTTTTTTACCATTTTCTATTCCATCAATTCTTCACAATTTTTAGGAAAATAATAAAGAAAAAGGGAACCCAAAATTATTTATTCACTAGTTTTTTTCGGTAATTTTTATGCTACTATATGTTCAAATAGTTTGGATTAGTTCTCAATTTTTTGTCATTTGCTAGGGAGTCTACTTCTAAAAGAATATGACAAAAGAAAAGCAACTTAATTGGTAGCCTAATTTTGTTTTATCAATATTAGCGCATGTGCCAATTTGTTTTATTTTTTATTTTTAATTTTATTTTTAGAATTAAGAAAAGATAACATGAGTAGTTATGCTCCATAAAAGTAGGACCTATTATTTGATTTTGTTTTTAATTTTAATTTTTTTAATATGAAAAAGTGTGAATTTACCATATTATCTTCATTTAATTAATAATTTCAATTCTTAATATATATTTGAATTAACCAAGGGCATTTTCTGGTATTTTGAATGTTTCACCATTCTCCGCCTTTCGCTTTATATATACTAGCCTCTCAGTACACGCTTCCGCACCTGCGAGAGGCTTTTTTTAAAAAAAATTAAATTTATTTTAGAATTAAAGAAGATAATGGGTAGTTGTGTTCTATAAAAATAGGATCTATTATTTGATTTTTCTTTTAATTTTATTTTTAATATGAAAAAGTGTGAATTTACCATATTGATTGGAAGCTCAATTTTCTTTTATGTGTAGAAAAGGCTAACACTATGGCATGCCAATTTTCTATTATATTATTTCAAATATCCTTTGGGAATAAACTAAACATTTTCTAGTATCGTATCTAAACCAATTCAAATGGGCTAGATAAAAGGAGCTCTTAACTAAAATTTAAAGTTTCTACCCAAAAAAACAAAAGAAGGTATAAAATTTAAAGAAATGTTAATAAAAGGTGTTCCAACTTAGATAAATATTGTAACTAGCAAGGCTCACTTTGAGATTTTGAGAGCGTGTGTGAAATTTAAACTGATGCTCTTGTGTGATCTAACATTAAAATACTAAAAAAGAAATTTTAACCACAAAGTAGTAACATAATATAATTTTTTAAACTATAATTCATCATCAATTAACATGCAAAGAAAATCACAAATAGAATTCAAAAAAGTTTTAAAAGACATAAGGAATTTTCTAGAGGATGTTAGGTGAGGGATGAGAATGATTGAAATGGTTGGCTAGAGTTCAACATCATTTTGCCACTACAGAATTGACACTTTGGAGCTTGGCTAGAGTTCATCATCTCCCCAACTTCCAGCAAAAGAACCTAATTCGAATGGGTAAGGCTGAGCCAGTGTTTAAGGTTGATAAGATGACTCAATTTGACCGTAATGTCCTTCCATGTGAGGGGCACATGCTCAAGTCCTAACAGAAATTGAGAAGTGTCCTCGAATTGCTTGGAATCCTAAACCACAGTGGCAAAATTGACGAAATTCAAACCATATGGACCTTAGTTATAAAAGTTGGAAACCACATGGACTACAAGTGTCTTTGCCTTAAGAATTCTATGCAATTTTCAATTTCTTCATCTAAAACAGAGGGTAAGAGCATGCTTCTTTGGCAGATAAAAGGACTCATCTTCTGCTGATGTTACTAGTTCCTTGATTCTATTATGTTTACCGTATGTCTTCATCTTTCTCTCGTATGTCAAAAACTCTGTTAGTTTGCTGACGTGACATACATATATATAACAAAACATCCCTGAGGTTTACACACTTATCACAAATGGTCCCTACGATTTTTTTTTTATTTTTTAATTTAAAATTCATAAAATTTTGGTTTTCTTTTTAAAATTATTTATAAATGAAAAAACCATTTATAGAAGGATCTTAAGGACCATTTATGAACCCTAAACCTTTAGTTTTTTTCATTTTTAAATTTTATGAATTTTAAATTATTTTTTAAAAACTTCATTAGTTTGTTGATGTGGCATATATATGGAGCCCACAAAGTGTGTGAACCTCAAGAATGTTTCGTGATATACATATATGCTACGTCAGTAAACTAACAGAGTTTTTTGACGGAACCTAATGACATGGACCATTTGTGATCATGCATACTAACCTTGAGGACCACGAATGACAAAAAAAAAAAAACATTAAGGATGCAATATGATAGTTCCGTAAACCTTAGGGACGTTTTGTGATAATAAGCCAATTAAATCTAAGTAAATACCAAACAGACCCTTACAATTTGATATATTGATCAATCCATGGATGTCCCCAGATATAAGTCCAATAATGCCACACAATATTCTGTGTGCACTTAAGAAGTATGACAGGGTGCTCTGTCTTTCCACAAAAGGTATGCAAAACAAACACTTGGAGTAGGTTTGTAATTGAACATGTAACATCTACTATTTCTATGGAAACCTTCATACACTACCTGTGATATGGGACACGTTGGCCTCATGAAAAGAAAAAGGGACAAATAAAATGAAAGAAGACTCTTTAAATACCCTCATACGTTTCTCATTTTAATATTTCTTTTGTTTTTCCGACTTTTGTGTTGTTGATTAATTCATGATCATTCTTCTTTATATTAATCAACTGTGAGTGTGTGGTATTAAATTTAATTACACACTAGTTTTAATTACACACTAAATTTATTTTAGATTTAAAAAAAATAATGGATAGTTGTGTTCCATAAAAATAAGATTCATTATCTGATTTTTCTTTTAATTTTAATTTTTTTTAATATGAAAAAGTGTGAATTTACTATATTATCCTCATTTAATTAATAATTTCAATTATTAATGTTTGCATTAACCAATGCCATTTTCTGGTGTTTTGAATATTTTACAATTCTCTACTTTTTGCTTTATATATATAAATTAACATAACTTGGATGGGCTTTTGAGCAGGCTTTTAGGCAAGCCTAGTTGGGCTGAGTTGGACTAGACCTAATCGGGCTTAAATGGTATGTACTATGTGCCGTGGACTGGTACTGGGTTCCAGATCCTTGGCCCTGGCCCTGTGCAACCCAAAAGTGGGTCTATCAGGCCTAAGCAGTGGAAATTACACCAACCCGTATGAATGTATCTCAATCGCAAGGTTGGTTGATTTGCATGTAACAATAGCAAACAACAAACAAAATCAAGTGCATTGAATTATAGACCCATTCTTTCAAAAATAGGCGTCCAGTTCTTCTTGCCTGTGCATTTGTCCCACTCTCTCCCTCTCCCTCTCCCTCTCTCTCTCTTCCTTGTGCCAGATCTCGGGCCAGCAACCTTGCCCTCCCCGGAGCCAGAAGAGAAAAAGAGAGAAGATAAGGGGGGCAGCAGAGTCAGGGTAATGGGTCAGATGGTGCCGCAAGAGAGAAGAAAAGGATGATGACAAGGTGGTGAAATGGGAACTTTATGGGGAAAAAAATTATTAGTAGGGCATAGAAGTAGCAATAGAATTTCCCAAATTCTAAATACAAGTAGAAAAGACCCCCAATTTCACAACTAGGACACTCAAACCACCGAGGTTTCCAGCCGTCTGAGAGTCCATTTTATACATGAATGGCGTAATAAGATTGTCCAAATTCAGCTGTCTTATAGATAAGATCAACATGCAACAGTAATGTTCAAAAGTGGACAATGAATCCCAACATAGGTAACATGAGATGCGGTTGAGTAAGAGTAAATCCAAAGTCTAATTCCCTTGAAAGCCAAAAAGAGCGAAATTATGCCAAACTCAAGAATTTCCAAATGCCAACACCAGAAAAACTTAAGAAGTATTAATACCAGTTGTTGATTGCCTACGTAAACAACCAGGACATGCATTGGTAGTTCTTGTCATTAGGCTTATCAACCATACCGGCCAAAATCTAGAGATTGTCTTCTTCATTTCTCGTTCCTTTTTATTTTTGCAAAAGACTCAAACAATGTTCAAAATTGAATATCAAACCCTATTCATACCATTATTGAGATCAAGTGACTGCGGTTGTCTCGCCGCTAGGTTCTTTGACTGACATGGGATTAACTAGCATGATCCTTCTGTGTGCACAGATAATGACATTTTCTGTCTGCCTACCTGCCATAGCCTGCAACCCATTCCAAGTACCTCTCCACAGCTTCCAGCCCACATAGCTCCTTCACAACAGGCATGGTAGCAGGAACATCCAACTGGAAAATTGATGCTGATCCATCTAAGCCACCCCACTGAAGAAGCTGTTTTCTTGATTCTTTAATTGCCGCCCTTGTAGCACAGTGAACTGAAACCGCAAGCAGTAATGGTGGCTCACCAGAAGCTGCACAAAAAAACATTTCAATTTGAATTGCTAACGGCTCTCTTTCATGAGTGTATTTTACAAGCTGGGATTTTTGAATGTTAAGCAACTTGAGAATCGAACTAGAAATTCAAAAGAGAGATTCAAAAATAAATGTACAATGTTTTTAATGTTTTCCTTTCAAAATCTCTTCCCTGCATGTTTGAAGAGCAATCCTACTCCAACAAAGGTACCAATTTCTTTTACACAAAGGAACCATTAAGGAAGGGCTCCTCTAATATATGATATGATTGTAACAGAAAATAGACTCTGGAACCCAAAATATAAAAAAATTCTTTGAAATTTAATTTGTTTTGGAGTTCGGTGTGGGGCCAATTTAAGAGGAAAAGAGAAAGAGAGAAGAAAAATATTGTGATTCAATATTTCTCTCCCTCAAACATTCTTTTTTCTGACTCCTTTTCTCTGACACAAACTGAACTATAACAATCTGGAAAAACTAAAGCCCCTTCACTAACATTTTCGTTTAGGTTTTCAGTTAAACGTAAA